ATTTCCTCCATGTGGGAAACGAAATCGTTACTCTATTTTTATATCAAATATTTGTCGTGGGAGTTACAAAATTTGGACCCACGCTTAGAATTTGTTATCAACAGTTTTCCGGTTCAAGAGTCCAGTGTTTATTGAAATTTATGGTCACACGTGGAAAGTGCATGACTAAGGAGACGAGACTAGACTCAAATGTTTACAGTGCATCTGATATTGCACAGCTGATATCTCCTTAATCTAGGAGAAACTCGACGTTGGGAACATTTTTATCGTTCACAGATGTGTGCAGCCGAAATATTCCTAACATCGAGGGGGTCACTTTCCCCGGTCACAGAAGATAATTTGGGTTTCAAAAGTCGCTTCTATCACTGAGATAATTGAATGACGACGTAAGAAAATGAATTTAAATGAATTTTCTGACGGATGTCACAAAACATAATGATTTGACATTAAAAAACTGTAATTCATCTTTAACCTTTTTGCTTATGTTGTTACTTTTTTTAAACAAAAGTTATGATTAAAGCATTTTTGTTTTTGATCGTTTTCTCTTCAGAAACTTTTAGTTTTTCTCATGCAGTGATAATCATTGAAATAAAAATTGTCATCATCATATCTTCTTTGTTTTTTTTTGATCAGGTGTCCTCATCATGCTTTTCCAAAGAAGAAATCTCCTATCTATTAATAAATTCTTATAAAATTAACAATAATTGACTCTTACTCATAAGTACAGCACAGTACGATAATTAACTTTTGCTAATAAGTAAGCACAGCACGTAATATTCTTTGACTATTACAAATAGCACAAAAAAAAATTAAAATAATAGAAACTAAAAAAAAACATTATCATTTTTCATCTAATTTCAAAGGAATTACTTATCTCGAAATAGTCAATTTTTGTTTCTTTAAACATTTTTCTTCTAGAAAAAATTACATTTTTTTCTGATGAAAAATTACATTTTTTTGTTTTTTTTTTGTTTTTTTTTGTTTTTTTTTTTGTTTTTTATTTGCAATTTTTTTTTAGAAGAAAGTTGTCGAATTTTTCAACTCTTGAAACATAATGATTTGACATTAAAAAACTGTAATTCATCTTTAATCTTTTTGCTTATGTTATGTTTTTTTTCGATCAGGTGTGCTCATGCTTTTCCAAAGAACAAATCTCCTGTCTATTAATAAGTTCTTATAAAATTAACAATAATCAACTCTTACTCATAAGTACAGCACAGTACGATAATCAACTTTCGCTTATAAGTAAGCACAGCATGTAATATTCTTTGACTATTACAAATAGACCAGAGCATTAATTCATAGTCTTGACATCAAAAACAGTGATCCACACTGAAAATCAGTTCATCATCTTCACTCGTCTTTAATTGAGAGCAGGGGGAATGGCAATAATCATTTCTTACATTAATCAAGATGTTATGAATTCTTGAAATATTCATAGAATGTTTTTTCTTTTTTTTTTTGCTGAAAAAAGGAGAAAATACAAAAAAATAGTTTTCTATTAATTTTTTAATGAAACTGAGAAGAAGCGACAAAAAGCATTCCGTCCATTTCCCCTCTCTCCCCTTTACTGGTCACCAAAATACATATATAAAAAAATCGAACAAATAAGAAGCTGAGCTTCAGAGAAACAAAAAAAAATTAATTCTAAGGATATGTTGATCCTTAAAAGCATAGAATATGAACTTGAAGAGTATTGATGAGGGATTCAAACGATCAAAGTCGAGGAGTGTTCGAGTTGAAAATAATCCTACAAGTTAACAAAATGTCTTAAAGACTTCTATTAGTTTCTACCTCGATAACGACTTCAGCTCCAATGACATTTGGAATTCTTGTGGTGGTTGACTGATCATCAACAGAACTATTACCTTCACCATCCAGTCGAGGACGTTGTGTTGGCCTTGAAATAGTGTCGCTCTCATTAGTAGGGTCCTCAACCTCAGAAATAGATCTTCGTATTGGGGGCGTATTCTCATTGGGAGTTGTCGCAGCTCTGTTTCGCCCCGAGACTCGAAACCCTTGCCTCATCTGAACCTCAGTCATTAAGATGTCATCCTTAATATGTATGTGAGCCATGTCTGGTATCTGCAGAACAATACTCTGATTATCGTTCCTGCGTAGAGTACCCCTGATTGTGACGTGTGATCCCAATGCAGGATTTCCGTTAGCCTCAAATGAGGTCACATAGACAGGAAGTCGGTATTTCACAGCATCCGTGAGGATGCCACTCCCGTACGTGGAATTATTGGTGATGACACTGGCAAATTCTAGTTTGATATAGCCTGTGAGGGTCACAGGTCCAGTCACTTCACCTATTTGATCCCAATTGATAGTAACATATTCAATTGGGTCTGGGGTGAGTTGGGGCATAGGTCCCAGAATTGACACCGTCCTATGAGCCTGGATAAAAATCTCAATGCTCATTAAATTATCTTCAGCCCGACGATATAGGGGATTAGCTACATTGACCCTGCCTCTCGTAATCCTTACACTCTAGAACAAAAGAAATGGTCACTATTTCCGCAATTTTTCTATACTCCATACTACATAATATTTCAGAAAACTTACCTGACGCATTAGTCGACCCTCAAATTCGGCGATTCTCCTTCCCCAGAAAAGAATTCTTATCAAACGGTTCGACAGGTTTGAAAAGATGCAACGATACGGGTGATTGGCTGACCGAGTAACGTTTGCCCTCAACCTGGGCTCATCAATGCGGATAATAGCACCTGTAACATCGCTGAAAATGAACAACATTTAATTATTCACTTGATTCATTTTTTTTCCATTTTTCATTTTCATTGATTATTCCTTGAAAAACTCAATGCCATTCAGAATAATTTTCAGATATTAATTTTTTCATCCACGTGGAGGGTGGATCCTAACCTTCCCCCATTTTCATATTCATATAATTAATTTCCCTCCAATAAAAATAGAAAAATAACTCACACAAGTGTATCTCCAACTTCCAGTTGATCGAACTCCTCGTCCGACGTTAGAACAAAATTAATTTGTTCCTCTTCCATAGTTGATTACGTTTTTACAAAGCACGCCAATGTTTCTCCTTCAGCAGAGGCTAACCGGAAAGGGCGACATTTCACGAAGCGGAAATGGCGTGCGCTCTCTCATGAAAATCGTCTTATTTTCAACAACACTCCACACGACTTTTGTTGCCCGCCATAATTCAAATTTAAATATAATACTACATTTTTTTACTACATGTTTCCAATTTTAACATTTATCATTTGAATTTAAGAAGAACATATGAACAAAACGAAGAATATGTAAAACCATTCAATTCATATAATTTGAATCATTTTTTTTTTCAAAACAATGAAAAAGAAATATTATTACTTCAAAAAGTGTGTCATCATATCTTCTTTGTTTTGGTTTTTAGTTTATGCTCTTTTACAAAAAAAAAATACTCTTGTGACTGTTGGCAAGTCTTATAAAACTAACCATGATCGATTCTTCTCTATAATAATATTACTCTGTTATAAATTTAATATATTATTATGCAGTTTTATCTATGAATATAATAAAAAATATCAGTCTCATTTTATAGGTAACTCTAAGCGTTTTTTTTTTAGTTTCTCCTTACTTATTCGAAAAATGTTTTTTTGTAATTTCATGTCATTATTTCTATGAGAAAAATAGAAATTCGAAGAATTTTTATGACATGTTGTAAGCATAAAATATTGAAAAATAGTTTTTACTTCTGGATTTGTTTTTTTTTTTTATTCAAAAAATAAATTATTATGAAAGTACTTTCTGAAAGTTTTTTCTCATTAAAAACTTTTTTTTCCTGTAGTGCAAATCATAAAAAATAAAAAAATAACTGTATAACTTTCGTGAGTCAAAACCCCCTGACATCAAAACCATCTGTTTCTTTGAACTCCTCAGCATCTTCAATTTGGGCTACGTTGCACCTAGACTGTCTCTCAACTATTGCTCTGCCATCCATCACACGAACATTTCCTGAGACTCGTCCTAAATAATGGACAATGGTGTCTGCCTCGTAAATATTCAGATCGATTGGTCGTCGATCTGAATCATTAGAGTGCGTGAAATTAGTATCCATTATGGAGACAAATGCAACGATCTGAAAGACATAATGGACAGAAGTACTACTAATTGAAATTAAACATAAAATCTTCTGATCATTGTCTAAAATATTTCCCATTCAGAATAATTATTTCTTATGAAAAAACAAAAAACCAGAAAAGTTACGCAACATTTTTTCTATAAAATCATTGTGCATCCAACAACAACAACAACAACAACAACAACAACAACAACAATAATAATAATAAAATGACCAATAGAAGCTTCAGAAGAGTCTGACATAATTTTCCACTTAAGGAGTTTTTGCAGATATTCCCCCAGTTTTCACGTTTCTCCCGATTTTCTGAGAAACGGTTGATAAAATTGACACGAAGAAATATATCGTTTTTAAGTTTTATCATTATTTAATGACTCACGAAGTTTCGTCGCAGTGGAAGAATTTTCTACGTCTTCACCAAACTTTTTCGAAAATTCAAAAAACTTTAGTAAAAATGCACAAAAATAGGCCCTCGGCTATGAAACTTTATGAGTCATTGAATGACGATAAAACCTAAAAACTATTTTTTTTGTGTTAATCTGATCAACAGTTTCCCGAAAATTTACGAAAAACATGAAAAGTAGTGAGATATCGACAATAACTTCTTAACTACATTTTTGTATTGAAGTATTTCGTGCAATAACAAAAGTGCAAGTGATATTGTCCAGTAGAAATTTTTCGACATTAATTAGACATAAAAAAATATGTCTCCATACCTTTCTCCTCTCACGAAAATAATTGAGACAAATTTAATTATTTGAGCTGAGAAATTTAATTAAAATAGGAGCATATTTCAATAAAAAAATGAATTAATTGGTATGGGAAGTAATGTATACCTGCCCAGTTATATTTTGGACGAAACTGTCAGCGTGCTCTCCCCAAAATATCATCCTGATGGCCCTGCCAGTAAGATTTGTGAAAATCATTTTCACACAACCCTGGTTCCAGGAATAATCAGTGGGTCCTGGACTCTCTCTTCCTCGAATGACTCCCAGCAGTGGCCTATAAAATAAAACATTTATTAATTTTTATTGCTTTATTTGATATAGGCAAGCGTGGGGTAAAAGTGACATGTAGGGTAAAATGAACCTGTAAGAAATTGTTTTATTGTTCATTTTTTAAATTTTCATGTTCCAAGAAACATAAACAGATGACTGAAATATTTGGCAATTAGTGAATTGATAGGCTGGCAAGTAGCACTTCCTAGTAACGCAAAAATACAAATGATACAAATAATTCGCTAATGACTAAGTACACCTGCAAGTGGGGTTGGAAAATTTTATTTCAGTTATACTTCAACGGTATTATTTAATATTGAATTCAATACATTCTTAAACAATTCACCAAGGCATTTATTACTGTAGATAACCATTATATAGCCCGAGAAAGATTTCATGGCGTTAATAGCCAATACATCAGTTTAAATGAAAAAGAGTCCGTTTTACCCAATCCTGCTCTAAATTTTCTCTTTATATTCATTTTTTTCAACACAATAGAAATATCGAAATAGCGACTGAATGTGTTTCATAACCTACAATTCAAATAACGTTACATTTATGTAGGTAATTTTTTTTTCAATTTGAGTTTTCGTGTTCAGCCTGTAAAAGTCGATTTTTACTACACATTAACATTTCATAGTTTATAATAATGATGAAAAATTATTATTAAATTAATACTTACATGATATTGTATCCAGGCTCCAAATAATCGACATCGTCATTCGATGCAAGCGTAAAAAAGTCGATCTCATTGTCAGCCTCTGCCATGATGTGTAGACAGATTTCTTTTTGTCACATAAAATAATTTTCCAACGAACAGCAATTTTTTAACAGCACAAAAACCACTGAAGACGGGAGGTGCTAAGTTTTGGCGGCAAACGTTGTTGCCGACTTGTCGCTCTATAAAAATGGGATACGTCATTTCCATGAGTTAGCCGCATAATTTCATCGTGAATTATTATGATGAATTAAAAAAATCCATTCCGTTCAATTAAAAAAAGATTAGCACATTCAATTGAAAAAATCAATTGAAAAAATAGTTAATTCAGTATAAATAACAATTAAAAACAAATTCTGTGTAAATAATGCTATGTGGCAATCATGGAGAACCTCTATTCTCCATGGTGGTAATTTAGTCGAAACGACACTCTATGTCGATTTCATACGTTCGTGGCTGAACTGTCAGTTCGACTTCGACTTTCGATTTTCGATTCGATTACCTTCAATTCGAGTTCGCATCCGACGCCATTATGCTTTCCTTTATATGATAGGAATTGTCAGGAATGTAAAATCGAACATATTATAATCAATTGTATACTGAATGCAGAATCTAATGATCTAAAAGTCTTTTCCTTTTACGTGTATTCACCTGAAACCCGGCCCGAATATTTTTTCTACGGAATTGTTGCTACTGCGAAATAACTATCTATTTTGNATATATATATATATATATATATATGAGGACCAGGAGCTGGAGCCATATTCCAACACTCCCTCCTGGCTGCTTCTGTGTCCTCCAGTATGAAAAGGTTATCATCAAATTTATATACTTTTGTTCCCTAAACAGACAGAAAAACAATAATTAGATATTCACATTCATTATTTTGTTAACTTGGCACTTGTGTAATTCAAACGCCAGAGGTTTGGTAAACACGTCAGCCAATTGATCTCTGGAAGTTATCCAGTTTACTTTGATCAAATTGAGTTTCACACATTCTTTGATGTGATGGGCTTTGACATCGATAATATGTCTCAATTTATTTCCCCCACTAATCTCAGCACTACTCGTCGCTGCCTTATTATCGCACCACAATGTCATAGGTAATTGGGGTGGAAATATTAATTTCAGAGAATTCAAAATAGACATCTCTTGACTAGCTTCGCTCATCGCAACATATTCTGCTTTACAAGTAGATAGAGCTACATACGACCGTTTATAAGTTCTCCAAATAATTGAATCACCAAACAGTTTAATTACAAAACCACACGTAGTCAATGATCCTTTGCAATCAGCAAAGCTAGCATCTGAGTATGCTTCAATCACATCAGTCTCCCCAGTGTATCTTAGACCTAAAGCAGAAGTACCTCTCAAATACCTCAGTACTCTCTTCACCAGTTTCCAATCGTCATCAGTTGGACTTACCTGGTGTCTGCTCAACACATTGACCGCGTAGGAAATGTCTGGTGTAGTCGGTCTTGCTAGATATAGTAAGCTACCTACTACTTCTCTGTATGGACAATTCATTCTCTCATCAGTCATAACATAGATTTCACCCGCAATATCTGATTCTCTCAGTTTGCGCTCATGATTAGATGCCTGTGTAGTTAACATTGGAGTTCTTTGAGGATGTGAATTTTCAAACCCGTATTTAATCAGTAATTTCTAAACGTATCTTTCTTGACTCAATTTTAATATTCTGTTCTCTCGATCTCGTTTAATAAATATATTTAAAAATTCTTTTGGCTCACCTAGGACAGTCATTTCAAATTCAGAACTCAGTGCTAACTTAACCTCATCCAGCTTAAATTTGTCATTACTCGCCATGATAATATCATCTACATATAATAACAAAATCAAGAATTCATCCTCATGACTCCAAGTAAATAAGCAAGGCTCTAGATCAGAGTTAACAAGTCCTACACCAAAGGCTACTTCAGTGAATTTCTTGTTCCATCGCTTGGGGCTAATTCGAAGTCCATATAGAGACTTCTTTAACCTACACACTTTAATTTCCCTTTCCAGATCAGAATGTTGAGTCCCTTCAGGGATTTCCATGTAAATTTCCTCGTCAATCTCAGCATTCAAAAATGCAGTTTTAACGTCCAACTGACATGTATCTAAATTGTATTTATTGATTATAGCAAATACTACCCTGACCAAGTTCATTCTGGATACTGGAGCATTGGTTTCTCTTAGTTCGTAGACATTTCGATCTTTAAAACCTCGAATGACTAATCTAGCTTTATGACGGGTCTTGCCAGTCGCTTCTAACTTCCGTTTAAAGATCCATCTCGAGTCAATGATGTTAGCTTTCTGACCATTTTGATTACAGATAGCNCACCAGTTTCCAATCGTCATCAGTTGGACTTACCTGGTGTCTGCTCAACACATTGACCGCGTAGGAAATGTCTGGTGTAGTCGGTCTTGCTAGATATAGTAAGCTACCTACTACTTCTCTGTATGGACAATTCATTCTCTCATCAGTCATAACATAGATTTCACCCGCAATATCTGATTCTCTCAGTTTGCGCTCATGATTAGATGCCTGTGTAGTTAACATTGGAGTTCTTTGAGGATGTGAATTTTCAAACCCGTATTTAATCAGTAATTTCTAAACGTATCTTTCTTGACTCAATTTTAATATTCTGTTCTCTCGATCTCGTTTAATAAATATATTTAAAAATTCTTTTGGCTCACCTAGGACAGTCATTTCAAATTCAGAACTCAGTGCTAACTTAACCTCATCCAGCTTAAATTTGTCATTACTCGCCATGATAATATCATCTACATATAATAACAAAATCAAGAATTCATCCTCATGACTCCAAGTAAATAAGCAAGGCTCTAGATCAGAGTTAACAAGTCCTACACCAAAGGCTACTTCAGTGAATTTCTTGTTCCATCGCTTGGGGCTAATTCGAAGTCCATATAGAGACTTCTTTAACCTACACACTTTAATTTCCCTTTCCAGATCAGAATGTTGAGTCCCTTCAGGGATTTCCATGTAAATTTCCTCGTCAATCTCAGCATTCAAAAATGCAGTTTTAACGTCCAACTGACATGTATCTAAATTGTATTTATTGATTATAGCAAATACTACCCTGACCAAGTTCATTCTGGATACTGGAGCATTGGTTTCTCTTAGTTCGTAGACATTTCGATCTTTAAAACCTCGAATGACTAATCTAGCTTTATGACGGGTCTTGCCAGTCGCTTCTAACTTCCGTTTAAAGATCCATCTCGAGTCAATGATGTTAGCTTTCTGACCATTTTGATTACAGATAGCTCTGTCTACAATTTTCCATACTTTATTTTTACTCATCGAATTTAATTCCTCCTCTGTAGCAACTGACCACCTATTCTTTTGTACCCCCTGCATGGCATCTTTGAAATTGATTGGATCTGAATTGATATCAGCAAGAAGAGCATGACATACCTCGTCAGTTAAATTGTCCAGAGCTATCTCACCCTCACCCTGTGATAAACAAGCCAAAAATAATCCAGAAGTCGGACTCGCGTCGATTGGTAATGTTGCAAGGTTTGATCCCTGTGCTGTTTCACTGATGGGTTCATCGACCTCTTTTATCTCTGACCTTGGAGTTACCTTTGTCGGCCTACCCCTTTTTCTCTTCGGTACTCCCTCCGATTTGGAGGCCTCATCAACATCGCTCGAACCCTTATCAAAACCTACAAACCAATCCTCCTTGTTTATCACTTCTTGAACTTCTGGGACATCTCTGATTTCACATCTCTTGTACTTATCACCATAAACCTTTTTCTCAATAAACCTGACATGTCTACGTTCATAGAATTTACCTTCTTCTGGTTTCAGCAATATGTATCCTGTTGGAGTGTAACCAACCAGAATACCTCTCACACCTATTGCCCTAAATTTAGGTCTTACTTTTCTTTGAACTTTCATGTACGCCAAACAGCCAAATCTTTTTATCTGATTAATATCAAAACTATGTTTCGTTGCAAACTCTTCTAATGGAGTTTTCATTTCATTGGATTTGTGAGGTGTTCGATTATACGCGTATACAGCGGCAGACAGAGCCAGATCCCACATGTTTTCTGGTAATTTCGCGTCAAACATATACGTACGGATCTTTTTCTGGATTGTCTGGTTGTATCTTTCTGAGACGCCATTATGTTCCGGAGTATCAAGACTCGCCAATTGTATTTCCGCACCTAATCTTTTCAACACCTCAACTGTATGTCCTCCGGTAAATTCTGTCCCTTGATCTGACCTAAGATAACAGACCTTCGCGTCGTAACCCAACAAGTTTCTACAACTCCTGACAAACATTTCAAAACACCGACCTGTTTCACTCTTCGCTCTCATCGGGTATGCCATAGCAAATCTCGATTTATCGTCAATGAAGACTGATATAAACCTCTATCCTTTCGGATATGTGGTTAGAGATATTGGCCCCATTACATCAGAGTGTATTACTTGCAAAGGTTCTGTTGCCCGACTTCTTATTTTGGGGAATAACAATCTGTTAAATTTAGAAGCTAAACAAACCTCACAATCGATTATTGACTCGTCAAAAATCACGTCTCTTAATTCTTTGTTATTCGGGAATTTTAATTGAATAGCTTTGAGATATGCTATTGATGCATGACCAAACCTATCATGCCACAGTAAAGCTTTATGATTATTACTACAAAGTTTGTCGTTATCATTCACAAATATAGAAAAAATCTCGTCACTTTCGTAAAGATTCACCTCGTCTACATTATTTAATTTTCTATCCCAAATTGAGAAATCAATGTTTGAGTGTATGGATGGATCTGAAGTTGTTTTAGGGTTTTCTATATTACTAAGATTTTCTTCTCGTCCAACTTCAGATTGTTTACTTTCTATCGCCTCGGTTAATACTTCTACAATTTGCTCGCCATCCTCAATTGGAATTTCCTTATCCGAAACTTTTTCATCAAGTTTAGCTGTGACACTACGCGTCATATATTTTCTTATCTCCGTCTCACCTGCTACCATATTAGCTATAACTCGTCTAGTTGTATTCGCCTGGAATTGTTTACTAACCTTACTATGCTTATTTATTTCCAAATCTATAATAAAATATGGCTTTCTATACACACCGGAGATAAATAATTCATTAGAATCTGGGTTAAAAATGTCTATTTTTTTGTCGTCCA